ATCGCCCACCAGTATAGAGTCATTATGCAATGTTCTCGCTTCTTTGTTTTTTTTTGTTTACTAATTTGTTTCTATGGACTGTGCGCAGGGAAGCTCTGGCTGTGAAGGACCCCATGTCTGCATGTCCAGACTCGGACATGGTCGACAAGGTTATCCAAACTCTGGCCGATCTCTTCGGCCGTTCAAGCGTGTGGAGCCAACGGTTCAAGTACCTGCAGCGTGTCATCCACAAGACCAACCTTGAAGTTCAAGGCATCCACGCGATTCGGTGGCTGTCCAGGGGTGAGGCAGTCAGACGCCTCTGTAAGGTCCTCGGTGTTGCCATTGTTTTACTATTCGAGTATAAGCATGAGATGTATAAGGTTGTCATCTCATACAAGTTTCAGTTTTGACTCTTCTTCCTGGCGGACGTCCTCGCCATCATGAACGAGCTCAACCTCAAGTTTCGGAAGCGGGAGGTGAGCCTTTGCACGTGTGCTTGTGCTATGTTCTTTCACAATCAGCACTAACATCCTGTCCCTTGACTTGCGCCCCCATGTTCCCTCCACCCCCACCCCCCCCCCCCCCCGACCGCAGGTGGATGTCACCAAATAACAAAGGACGTCGACGAGGTGGTGGGGGATCTTCGGCACCGCTACTTGGAGCGCGGCGGAGCTTTCTGTGCGGGCTTAAGCGGCACGTGGCTGTCGCCTTTCTTAACCGTGTACAAGCGCAGGGGGACGAAGAGAGTGAAGGTGTGCGGCATCGACAAGGACGGGCAGCTGGTGACGCACACGTACCAGATGCACGAGCGGCAGATCAAGGGGCATGTCTACCAGAGCAACTACCGGGACTGCGACTTGTTGTGCGCGAAGTTCGTGAGGGGGAGTATGACGAACCTGCTGGAGCGGCTGGACGACCTGTCTAAGCTCGGGCAGACGAAGTTGTTTCGGGCGGGCAAGTGGCCGCGGCTTCGGACGGTGAGGGAGAAGAAAGACGAGGGAGTATCTCCATGGCTGCAGTGCTATCTTCGACGACGGGCTCCCCGGGTTCGATTTGAAGGCGGCGGAGAAGGAGCTGGCAACTTGGGGCCCCGATCATGCAGAACCACCACAACGAGAAGGGCTTCTACCAGGGCCTCACGAACTACCTTGGCAACAAAGAGTCAAGCAGGTAAGTCAAGCCTCCAAAGCACGCTGCTCTGTATGCCTGTGTATGTTTGTTTTTGCCAGTTTTGACCACCATGCCTCCAGTTTGCCAGTTTTGACCACCACGCCTGTGTATGTGTATTTGTGAGCTTGTCCGTGCTAGAGGCACGAACGTGAGCAAGGCAGCTTCTGACGTGGAACGCGGACGTGTGACCAGGTTAACCCGGTCCAGATAAGGGTCGGCAAAACTTGCGGTCGCTCGGAGTGCTGCCAAATGTTAAGCTAATCGAGCGGCGTAGCGAATGGCGAACGGCCACAGAAAAATGGGTGCACCGGCATGGATCATGAGGTACGAGCCGCCTCCCCATCACCAAACCGATGCGTCGCTCAGCGACCCCATTCTGCTACGGGAGTCTGGCAGGGTGTACAACTTGGTGATGCCCTCCGCACGACAGAACTGGCCAAGCCGACTGGAGGCGAACTCGTCGCCACGGTTGGACTGAAGACGCAGCACATGTAGGCCGAGGGAACCGCCTGACAGGGAAGGGTGGTGGAGCTACGAGTGACTACTGGACCGGAAGAGGGGTCAACAAGCGCGACAGCTGCAGGGGTGGCAAGCGCTGTGAGTGCGATGTGGTCGAGAAAGAAGCAGGTGGACGCGCCAGAGTCTAGCGTGAAAAACAGCGCCGCGGTAGCGTCAGCCAGCGCAGGGGCCAATGTGGAACCTAGGTTAAACAAAGCTGGAGGTCCTACGCCTGACGCAGCAGGGGAGCCTAGACTACAACACAGGGGGCACACATTCACTAGGCAACACTGGGTAATAAGGTTCAGTCACACTAGATTCATCAGCATACAAGGCATACAAAGCAAAGCAAATCTTATCCATGTCCATTTCAAAGACCGGAATAAAGTGACGTACGAGACTTTGCCAATCAGGGAGGTCCGGCGCAGGGCCGAATCAGAGACAGAAGAGGTCATCGAGGCGGCAGTAGCAGCGGGCAGTGTGACCTAGACGGCTACACATAGTACCACAAAGGGGACTAGTCTGGAGCTAGTACTGGTAGCTCAAAAGGCTGAAGCTTCCACTCGCCGCTGAGCTGCAAGGACCGCCACCGCGGCCATCACCACCAGAGCCGCCGGGACACCGGGACGGAATGCGACCCAACGGCTGCTGCTGCTGCTGCGCGACTACTGCTGCTGCTCACCACATGGCATCTTCAAGTCGCTATCTCCTCAACTGGCGAGACCTGCCAAAAGGAGAGATACAACAACACAGTTGCTAACAATCAGGTTATTGAAGCAACCAGAATTGAAGACGTGATACTCGAGTCCGACAACACATAAGGCGCACTTCACCTTAACAAGGTTCTTGTCGCCACGGGACTCGGCTTCAACCTAATATCACAAGCAGAGCTGATGGAAAGTGGGATCTGTTTTGTCAGCACCGCCAACACGATGCTCACGGAGTTGTACCCGAGCAACAATAAGGAAAACAAAAGCAATTTAGTCGGCATCGCAGAAACCAAAGACATCGTTTCCGTTCTACGCTTCTCACCTGTAAAAGCATCTGTCGACAATGAGAAGAACGTCTCACTTGCTCCTTGGCATCATCATTGGGAGATGGATCTTCAACGCCAAGACCATCGTGGTCTCAATGCCTTCTGCGTCACGCCTCAGCTGTGAGAGTACGACCCCTTTACACTTCTTTCTCATTTCCATATTTCTCCTCTATCTCATTCTCCTTCTTCTCCTAATTCATTTGGTCTTAATCACATCCCTTTTGGTTTCCTATTCCTCATTTTCCATTATCCTTTGATTTATCCTATTATTATAATTATATCGCCGACTAGACTCGGGATGTACTGGCACACTATATCTAGCGTAATCCTGCCGTGATCCCTTGAAGCCAATAGCCTCGCGTGGCTATACGCAGAGCAGAGCCTCAGATTCGTTTAGAGGCACCATGATAGCTCAGGGTCCCCCCACCTTGGTCTCCTGATTTTTCAGGCCTCTCCAAATAAAAATCCCTGATCCATCAGGGTCCCTATAAAATTTCACGCTGAGTACACATGATTATACAAAGAAAGCACGCTCTGAAATATATGCCCAGTATTATATGGTAGCAGGGTTCTCAATGGCAGCAGGCGCAGAGGGACCAAAGCTAGGTTTGGGCTCTGAAAGTACGACCACGTCGGAAACAAAAATGGACGGTCGCATTCAAGTCGGCGGGATTGAAAAGGGGCGGTTGGGGAAACTCACGGAAATCACGGTGGAGGGGTGGGGGCTGCGAATCTGCTATTACATGAATATGGACAAACAGGGCTCACTACACTAGTATCGCTGATCGATAAGAGTTCACTCCTAAAAAAACGCTGAAATTCCAGGCTTGGTGTCTTAAAAAAATCCTATCTCATCAGGGTCAACCCCCAAAAAAATGCCTGATTCTATCCTGAATCAGGGTAAAAAGCCTGCAATATGAGGCCCTGACGCAGAGTGATTCTATTTCTAGAAGGGTCTATTCCCGTTGGATAGGAATAAACATGGTTATCTGATGACCTTGGAAGTATAAAAGCGCCTTGTATCAATCGAGATTGCAACTTTTCCTCGATCAATTCGATCTTGTGACACTTGGTAAATAGAGATTTTCTCACTCAACCACGCTCAGCTAAAGCAGCAGCAGCAAGAAAATCAGCCTCGAAAAAACCGTCAGGGGCGACTAATTCGGCGCCGATTCGGATAAGCACCAGCTCCGCGTTTTTTTAATTAACCCCTCCGCGCGCGTTTTGAACAGGATGACGAACTTCGACAACATCGAAGTTACCCAGCAGCTCTTCGCGCGCATCGTCGCCCTACAGGAGGAGATGCGAGCCGACCGCGAAGCTTGGTGAAACGAATTCGAGCGAGTAACGCGACTGTCCAGCATGCAGAACGAAACAACAACGGCGACGACGCAGCAGTCGCAACTGTTTCTTTAGGCTCCAAAGCTACGCCCACCTGAGTCGTTCGATCTGAGCGGTCGAAATTCCGACGTCCGCAGATGGATCGCTAGCATGGAGATCCACTTCGCAGCCGTCGAATGGAGCTCGCCAATCTGGGACAATTAGTGCATGTGACTCGCGGCGACATAGATGCGAGGGCCGGCACTCGAGTGGATCGGGGCAACAATTCTTTCATCCATGACGAAGCCACGTGGCAGCCGTTCCGCATTGACTTGCTGAAACGTTTCGAGCCGATAAAATTCTGGTTTCCTTGCCCGGGAAAACTTTCATCGTCATCGACAGTTCGGGAGTGTAGCGTAGTAGACATAGCAGATGAAAGGGGAAAAAGTACTGTCGTATCTCGCCGGGCTGAAGACCGAAGTCAAACAACAGGTAGCAGCGACAAATTATGCGAGTTACAGTGACGTCGTTTCGACAGCGAGGCGGTTTGACATGGTCAACGCCGGAAAACGACGGGCGCACGTCTGCAGTACGAGACAGGGTGACCGCTCGGCACACCCCACGTTCGCCGACCCGATGGAAATCGATAGGTTCGACGGGCGGCCACGTCCGAAAAACACCAACTTTACGTGCGATTCTTGTGACCCTCTTCCTCACCAGACCTGAACCCGGATATTTTTCCCCACCAGTCACGACTACTTCAACTGCTGCACCGCTCAGAGACATACGGATCCTAGCATGATTCTAATAGTGCAAGGATGCACTATCAACTGTGTTATGTTACCCTAAGTTTCGTGGCAGATACGCAATTTTTCGCCCCTCTGCTCGTAATTTTTACCTACAATGGTACGATGAAGACGATCCATGATAATACGAGACCAATTGACTAATGGCATCTTTGGCCACACCTCAGCATGGCTAGTCTAAGAGATAACATTCAACATGAAATCGTGCACAGTACTCTTGCATACGTTCAAATACTTTCGCGATTTTCCTAGTGCTCACCCCTTATGAAAAAAGCGTGGGTCCAGGAAGAGTGCGAGAAGATCCCTGTAAAGGTTTGCACTAACCTCGTAGATAACATGCCTAGGAGGGTGTAGGTGGTGATCAAGGCCAAGTGTCGGCTGACTAGGTACTAGTTTTGCTAGTAACTAGTTTGCTGCCTGTCCCCGGTACAAATTGTCCGGATGTGCTGTTATTAAATGTTGTCATCTTGAAGGACCCTGAAATATACTACTATGGTTTTAGGAGATTTGAGGTGAGTGCTCTAACTGCTCCTCTCTACGTGTATGGCCACCATGAATTAAGGCTTAATGCTTATAGCATACAGCTCGGTCAAAATGTGAAAATATGCTAAACATGTGGACAATTGTTTCCGCCACTGTAGGTAAACCGTACTGCAAGCATCTATAATAACGGAAGGAGAGTCCAGCTACTCAACTGGGGCGACACAGGAGATATCCCTGTGGAGACACTCGCCAAGTTCGAGAAGGATGTGGAAACAAAACGACACCAGGTTCCTGGCGATAGCAACAGATGCAGAAGATGACGGAGAGAAAAACTCATAAACTCTAGAAAAAATCAAGGGATTACTGAAGGAGTTCCAGACATTCTTCCCGACAACCTTCCGAACGAGCTACCGCCATACCGAATGCACCAACACGAGATCGTGGAAGAACCAGGCTCGAAGCCGACCTTACTAGCACCATATCGACTCAGTCCTACAACGCTAATCGACATAAAGAAACAAATCGAGTATCTCCTTGAAAATGGACTCATCCGACCATCCACTTCACCTTACAGTGCCCCAGTACTCTTCACACCGAAAATCGGACGGAAGCCTGCGCATGTGCATCGATTACCGAGCTCTCACAAGCAGAACATAATAAATAAATACCCGATTCCACGAATCGATGACGTGCTGGACCAGCTTCGGGGAGCCACGGTACTTTCCAAACTCGATCTACGGTCCGGATACTGGCAAAATGTCGGATAATTCCATCCACAAAACTGCATTCCAAACTCGATATAGGTCGTACGAGTATTTGGTCATGCCGTTTGGACTCACCAATGCACCCGGCAACCTTCCAAGCCAAAATGAACCATGTCATTTGCCCACTCTTAGACGAATACGTAGTGGTGTACGTGGGATGACATCCTCATCTACAGCGCGATACTGTATGAAGTAGCACGTCGAATACATGCGACGCGTCTTTGACATTCTCCGACGAGAACGATTCTACGTCAAATCATCCCAAGAGCGAATGCGCCCTCAAAAAGGTCCAATTCCTAGGACACATGGTCAGCGTTCAAGGAGTTCACGTCGACCCCAGAAGATCGAAGCCATACGCATGACGGTAACGGTGTCCGCCTTTGCCATCCGAAATTGACCATGATGACCAATCGGCTCTTCATATTCTTGGTCTTGATGTCGCAGTTCAGCAACCAACGGCTGGGATCGAGCCGAAAACAGTCAAGCAGGCCCCCTCCGGCTCTGATGCTGACAAGTGGCGAACAGCTATGGATGTAGAGGTAGCAGCTCTTCTAGAAGCGGAAAACGTGGAAACTCGTTCCACGTGAAGGAACACACGGCAAGAAAATTCTTTCCAGCAACTTGGTCTTTCGCATAAAGACAAACGCAACAGGCGAACCAGACAGATTCAAGAAGAGATGGGTCGTTCGAGGTTTCGAACAAACCCATGGCATTGACTACGACCAGACTTTTGCTACGGTCGGCTGCCATACCTCAGTTCGAATTCTTCTCGCCCATTGCTGTCAGCCGCCATCAGCCACTTCGCCAACTGGACGTTAAAAATGTGTTTTTTATCTGCAGACATCGATGCATATATTTTTGTCAAACTCCCTCACACTTACGACGACGGACTTCACATCTGCAAGTTACTTAAATCACTCTACCGGCATCAAACAGGCTCCTCGCATGTAGCAGCAGCATCTTCACAACGTTCTGATTTTAACTCGACTTTGTGCAACTGCCCCACAATTCTTGAATGTGCATACTCGAATTTCGAGGGAATTACATTCTTCTAGTCGCCTACGTGGACGACTTTACTGTACACCGGCTCGTGCAACAGTCTTCTGGCACGCATGGAGGAAAGAATCCAAACGATTCTTGAGGTTACTATTTCCCCAAGCGTCCACCCAATTTCTTGGGTTAAACGTCGACTTCGGCTCCGATGCCATCTATCTTTCTGCACGCAAGTATGCAGAAACACTTGCAAAAAAAGTTCGCCATCGATCCTATCGGCCTCACCACTCCATTTCGTCATATTCCAGCCGATCACGCACCCAATACTACCCCACTTACAGCCTCCGAGCATCAGCTTTACCAGCAGCAGCTCGGGCGTCTTCTATTTGTAGCTGTTACATGCCGCCCAGATCTTGCTTACATCACGAGTAAGTTTCCCACTGTATCTGCGCCGACCTGAAGGGGAGAATATGGCCGATCTTCGTCGAGCCTTCTAATATTTCATTTCTACTCTTACATTCAGTCTCAGCTATACGAACAAATACTGCAACAGGCCCCGACAACAGGATACGTTCATGAAGATCACGCTGCTGACCCCGACAACAGGCTCGCGTACAGGGTTCATCTTTACACTTGAATTAGGTGGTGTTCATTTCTTGGAACTCAATAAAATACGAGGTCATCGCACTTTCGTCAGCCGGAGCAGAATTCGTCGCAGCAAGCTCTGCAGTTCGCGGAAGGACTCTATCTTCAAGAGATACTTCAAGAGGCGAAAATCGCAATGACACGTAACTTCAAGTTACTCTGCGACAACCAGAGCGCAATCAAGATTGCAAACAAGTTTGGCTTCGTCAACACGACAAAACATATCGCCCTTCGTTACTTCTTCGTCAATAACGAAATCGACAAAGGGAAGGTCATCCTGAAATTCTGCCCTACAGAAGAAATGACAGCTGATTTTTTTACAAAAAGATTTCCCACGCGGCAAGTTTTAATACTGCTCCAACTTGGTTGGAATACACTTACGATACTTACCCAGAGACATACACTCAGGAATGAAGGGAAGTGTTGAAACATACTCGACAGAGTTAATATATGCATTCCTAATATTACACTTAGACTGTACTAGTAGCACGATACCTTATATGGAAGGACGCGCGTGATGACGTCAGCAGTAGCGAATCAACGCGTGAACAGTAGGTCCGCGCGTACAGTCACCCCAAAGGGTCCGCGCCACTCTTAGTCACACGAACAGTCTCTAGTCATGTCACGCGAAAAGTCGCGATAGATATGAACAGGTTCATTCCGAATATGTACTTCCTATACTCATTATTATTAACCTTGTCATTTCGTACATTTCCTATACAAGGTGTGAAGTCTTCCGCTGACTTTTTACTCGTGGTTCCACCAACTCTAGATCCTGGCCACCCTAAACACGTGGTTCGCTTCAATAAACATAGTCTAATATTGTAAGCTTTCGTCATGATGCGATTGTCGAGAGGACCCGCTGGAGTTACCCTTGAGAAGATCCTTGGGGAAGGGCCACAGGTGCAGAGCCTGGGTGGGCTATGGGCGCACTGACCGCTATTAATAAGCCCTTTTAAAGCCCGTGGCTATAATAGCAATCAAGACGGCTGGTTTAATTTGCTCTTGAAACTTGGCACATGACTTGATCTTTAGAGTAAACGAAACAGAATAAAAACATTTCGTTTTGCCAAAGCGGAATCTGACCGTGGCGGTTTGGCGACTGTTTTTGCACGAAACCATTCGGTGAACAGTGCAATACGCGTCGTGCGACCGAATTCGTGGTTCCGTGAACAGTGAAAATGCGAGAAGAATAGTGTTTTTTTGGCGAACAGTAGCTGATTCTGGAATTGCAGACCTGGAAATCACTTGAACTCCCCAGTCATAAAGCTCCTGTATTTCCTCGTCGCAAGCTGCTCGCCCAAACCCGTCGTAGAAACTCCGTGCGATGCACAACAGTGTATTTGCGCAATTCGCATCCAAATGATCGTGTCGCAACAAACAGCAAAACGAGTTTTTCTATCAAAATTGAACAAGGTGAATGATAGAGTGAGAGTACACACAACTATACCTAAGTGTTGTACCCTCTAAGAGGCGACCCTATACAGTCTATACAAACATGACAAATACACATGTTTGACACACCCCCTAGACTGCATAGGGGAATGTCCTAAACAAGCAGCTCAGGGCGGCACTACTAGTCCAACCTCTGAGACAAGGGTCTGAGAGACCAGTCAGAAGGAGTACAGACAAGGCAAGACAAGAGCAGGGCGGCACTACTAGTCCAGCCACTGGGAGAGAACACAAGTCCAGTCTGAGTATACATATAAAGGACAGTACAAAGTCAAGGTCCTAGCAAGTGAGAGGCTACAGGAACTAGACCAAGCTGTACACAGTGCCGCTGATGATCTTTAGGCGCAAGCGCCTTCGTAAAAGATATCAGCCGTGTTGGCACCTGAGGCCAAGTGTACTACGCGAGCCTGACGTCGCTGCTGTAGCTCACGCAGGAGGAAGTACCGCAGCTGAATGTGCTTCGCTCTGCCCTCGAGTCGAGGCTCCTGACACAGGAGGATCATGCCCTGTTGTCAGCGAACAGGACCGGGCAGAGCTAGGCCGCTCACCTAAGTCAGTGAGCAAGAAAGTCAGCCAGCGGAGCTCCTGTGCCGCCATGGCACCGGCGTAGATCTCAGCCTCACAACTGGACTGTGCCACAGACGAGGAGCGGGTAGCTCTCCACGAGACGGCACCTCAGCCATGGCTGAAGCAGTAGCCCTGGGTAGACCTGAGTGTCTCGGCGTCGTCTGCCCACGAAGCGTCTGTGTGCCCAGTAAGGACCACTGGCCTGCGTCCTCCTAGCACTAAACCCCATGCCCGATGTACTAGCAAGATAACGCAGAACCCTCTTAGCGCAGACCAGTGCTGCGGTCGGTGTCTGCCTGTGGCCACAAAACGGGCCAGGATGCTGAGAGGGTATGCGAGATCTGGGCGAGTGCAAGTCATCAGGTACATGAGGCAACCCACCAGCTCTGCGTAGGGGCCGCTGGGCTCTACCAACTCCTCAGACACTGGAGCAGAGAGCCTGTGGTCTACAGGCAGAGGGTGGGCTGTGCAGAGGAGAACTGAAGGCTGAACCTCTGAAGGACCTGGCGCACCAAGTGTGACTGAGTCAGGGTGATGGTGCGCGCAGCTCTGTCCTGGAGATCTGCAAGCCAAGGTAACGGCGCAGTTCTCCAAGGTCAGTGCACGTGTGTCTCTTCAGCAGCTCTGCCTTCACGGAGGCCAGTGCGTCCCTGTCTGCTGTGGCAAAGACCAGGTCGTCGACGTAAACAAGGATGTAGAACGAAGTCTGGCCAGCACGAACGAAGAGGGAAGGGTCTGCGGAAGACGGAAAGAACTGCAGGTCAGCAAGCGTAGCACGGAGAGTGTCGTGCCACTCACGGGGAGCCTGGCGCAGGCCGTAGACGGGGCGCCGCAGGAGCCACTGGGTCCAGGAGGGAAGGTGCCAGTAAAAGCCCGGAGGGCGACGTAGGTAGACCTGCTCGTGTAGGCTGCCCTGAAGGAAGGCAGTGGAGAAGTCGAGGGAGTGAAGCTCGTAGTCACGCTGAGCAGCTAGGTGTAACAGAACCCGATGAGTAGTCATCTTCGGGGTCGGAGCGAAGGTCTGGAAGAAGTCCACCCCCTCACGCTGACTGAAGCCTCTAGCCATGTAGCGCGCCTTGAACACAGGCGGCTCTCCAGGAGGGCGCTTCACCTTGAAGAGCCAGCGGCCATCGACTACGTTCACCCCAGGCGGGGGAACTGCGTCGACGTAGGTGCCGGTGGATCTCCAAGATGCCATCTCCTGCTCCATGGCAGCTATCCACTGCGAGGCCCAGGGTCCCGAGGTCTCCTCAGGGTAAGTGCGAGGGGTCGGGATGTCGAAAGCGTCTGGGTCACCCTCAGGGACTAGCAGCATGGAACAGAGATGGGGAGCAGCCTCGGAGAGGAAAGCAAGCTCGAACTGGCGGTCTTCCAGGACGTCACTGCAAGGGCAGGAGCACCCCCGACAGATGGAGGACAGGCAGGGTCAGAGACCAGAGCGGAGGCGTAGTCAAGGCGGCGGGAAGAGGCGAAGTCAGCGACAGCAGCGACAAGGGCGTCAAGGCATGAGGCCGGAACAGACGGGTCGGTAACGAGAGAGGCAAGGACGCGAAGGAACAAGGGACGAGCGGCACGAAGGTAGTCAGACAGCGGGGGGGGTGCAACAACAAGGGAGGACGGAGGAGGCGACGGCAGAAGGGGAGGACGAGAACACGTGGGAACGAAGCAACATAGGGTGGGAGCGCAAGACAGGCGAGGCAGGACGAGCACGGGAGGGACGGTGAGACCAGACGTGCGACGGAGGAGTCGGGTCAGGAGACAGGGGAGGGGACACAGGAGGGGAACGAGGGGGAGACGGGCCGGGGACGAGTCCGGCGGAGGGAAAACAGGGCCGTAGACAGGAAGAGGAGGAGACGGTCGGGAGGAACCGACGCAGGGTCGGGGGACGGAAGGCCGAGCAGGCGAAGGGCTGACACCGGCGGGGACTGCTGCTGCGGCGGCACAACGGCGACACCTGGACCGCAAGCTGCTCCTCGGCTACCACCGGCACTCTCCACACCAGCACCCCCAGAGGGACCACCCCAGGGCGACCGGGACGAGCACCCCCAGAGTCAGCGAACGGGGCTGCGACGGCGGCGGCGGCGGCGGCAACGACGGCAGCGGCGGCAGAGGCGGTGGAGGAGGGGACTGGGGAGGGGACGCCAGGGGGAGGGGCGGCCGGCGAGGACTGCACAGGAGGGCCACCAGAGTCAGAAGACTCCTCAACCGGGTCCACCGACGGAAGGGGGGTGACGTGGGACACACCAGAGGGGGCGGGACGGGGAGGAGGAGGAGGAGGGGCAGGGACTACCGGGGAAGGAGGACCAGGAACAGGGGGGGGTAACCGGGGGACCACGGTGGGGGAAGCGACGGTAGTAGGAGACGGACTCGTCAAAGGTGACGTCACGAGAGTGAAAGAAGCGGTGAGACGGCGGGTGGTAAAAGTGCCAGTCGGACGCGTCAAGGGGAAAACCGAGGAAGACGCAGGGAAGGGTGCGGGCAGTGAGCTTGTCCGTGCCGGAGGCACGGACGTGAGCAAGGCAGCCCCAGACGTGGAACGCAGACGCGTCACCAGGAGACCCAGTCCAAAGACGGTCGGCGAAACCTGCGGCTGCTGAGGGTGCGGCCACAGGTTAAGCTGGTGAGAAGCGTAGCGCACAGCGAACGGCCACAGAAAATGGGGTGCACCGGCATGGATCATGGAGGTGCGAGCCACCTCCATGACCAAACCGATGCGTCGCTCAGCGACCCCATTCTGCTGTGGGGAGTCCGGTAGGGTGAACGTCTGGGTGATGCCCTCCGCACGACAAAAGCGACCAAGGACACCTGAGGCAAACTCGCCACCACGGTCTGAGTGAAGACGCAAGACAGGGAGACCGCGGTGGACACGCGCAGAGACAAGCCAGGGGATGAGAGCGCCAGGCACGTCGGCCTTGCGCTCCAGGGGAAAGACTGTGGTGTAACGAGTGAAGTCGTCGACAAGCACAAGGAAGTAGCGCTCTCGACGCGGCCCAGGGACGGGGGCGGGGCCCCAGACGTCCAGGTGCAGGGTCTGCAGCGGCGCGGCGGTAGGGGGAAACGAGGAGGAGTGAGGGGCACGGCGAAGCCGACCCTCGACACAAGGCGTGCAAGGTGGGGCTGGGGAGGAGGGAAACGCGGGGAGAGAACCTGGGAGACCAAGGACAAGACCGTGCTGGGACATGTGACGCAGACGCGGGAGCGCAGGGTGACCTAGGCGGTGGTGCCAAAGGAGGTCGGGTGAGTGAGGGACCGACAGGAGCAGGCAGCAGCAACCTGGGTAGACGCACCACCTGAGGGGGCGCTCCAGCCGGGGGGGTCACGGTGTCCAGAGTGAACAGGCCGGACACCGGGTCCCGGGGGAACGTGGACAGGGGGCACCAGTGGCGGCCTCGGTACAGACAGCATACCGCTCGTGACCAGGGAACGTAGTGGTGACGCCAAGGTCCTGGAGGCAGCCGACACCAACTAGGTTCCTGGAGAACGAGGGGATATGCAGACCTGTAAGAGAGCCCGAAGGAACCGCCGGACAGGGAAGGGTGGTGGAACTGCGGGCGACTACCGGACCGCCGGAGGGGGTCAGCAAGAGAAACGGCAGCAGGAACAGGAAGCGGCGTCAGGGTGGTGGAGTCGCGGTTCACCATCCTGCCGCTGGCCAGTGAGTTGGCGGCGGAGGTCGGCAAGCCACGCCTCGAAATCTAGGGGCTGACCTTCAGCGTCGAAGCGCAGCTCTGCCGCCATCAGGAAGAGTCCAGTGCGGTGCAGGACGGTGCAGTGCAGTGCAGTGCGGTACAGTGCGGTGCAGTGCGGTACAGTGCTGCAGTGCGGTGCAGTGCGGTGTAGTGCGGTACAGGGCGGTGTAAGGCAGGACAGTGTGGTGCGTGGCGGTACGGTGCAGGGCAGAGGGCGGGGTGGGGGGAACCGTACCAGTGAGGAGGACGGGCCGGGGCAGCGGCCGGGCAGGAGCGACCGGCGGGCGAGGACGACGGGCCGGGCGGGCGCGACGGGCCGGGCGGGCGCGACGGGCCGGGCTGGTGCGACAGGGCCGGGCCGGGCGACGGGGCCGGGCGAGCGCGACGGGACGGGCAGGGGCGACGGCCGGGCGGGGCGACAGGGCCGGGCCGGGGCGACGGGGGGCGGGGCACGACGGGGCCGGGCTGGTGCGACGGGCCGGGCAGGTGCAACAGGCCGGGCGGCGCGACGGGCCGGGCGGCTGCGACGAGGCCGGGCAGGGTGCGACGGGGCCGGGCGGGTGCGACGGGGGGGCCCAGGAGGGGCGCTGCAGGGGCCCAGGAGGGGCGCGACGGGGCCCAGGAGGGGCGCTACGGGCCAGGAGGGGCGCGACGGGGCCCAGGAGGGGCGCTACTGAGCCCAGGAGGGGCGCGACGGGCCTGGGAGGGGGCGCGACGGGCCCAGGGGGCGCTACAGGGCCCAGGAAGGGCGCGACGGGGCCCAGGAGGGGCGCTACGGGGCCTGGGAGGGGCGCGACGGGGCCCAGGAGGGGCGCTACGGGCCTGGGAGGGGCCTGACGGGACCCAGGAGGGGCGCTACGGGCCTGGGAGGGGCGCGACGGGGCCCAGGAGGGGTGCTACAGGGCCCAGAAAGGCGCGCGACGGGGCCCAGGGGGCGCTACGGGGCCCAGGAGGGCGCTACGGGGCCCAGGAGGGCGCGACGGGGCCTGGGAGTGGCGCGACGGGCCCAGGAGGGGCGCGACAAGGCCCCGGAGGGGCGTTACGGGGCCTAGGAGGAGCGCGACGGGGCCCAGGAGGGGCGCTACGGGGCCCAGAGGGGCGCGACGGGGCCTGGAGGGGCGCGACGGGGCCCAGGGAGGGGCGCGACGGGTCCAAGGAAGGGGCGCGACGGGGCTAGGGGGGGTCGCGACGGGGCTAGGGGGCGAGGGGAAGCGGTAGGTGGGGGGGGGGGATCCTACCTACGCGTGATACCATATCAAAATTGAACAAGTGAATGATAGAGTGAGAGTACACACAACTATACCTAAGTGTTGTACCCTCTAAGAGGCGACCCTATACAGTCTATACAAGCATGACAAATACCACATGTTTGACACTTTCGCCATTCCCTCCATTCAGCAAGCTCGACCAGAATTTGTTTCGACGCACTTTTCTTGTTCAGGCTTGAACTCAAAGCTGCCTTCCATTCTATACTTAGACGGATTTCAAGCACCAAATTCAAGTGGTTTCCAGGTCTGCTATTTTAGCCGCGGGCTTTAACTCAGTGGTTAGTGGCTGGGTTCTGACATGCTATGAGAGCGTTGGTGACTCGGGTT